TAAAATATGGGCGCCACCATTTTGGTTCCTTTTACCGTTGGGAGAACCGGAGTTTGCACAGATACGCACGCGTTTCCGAGGTAAGCCATTTTCACAATTTTCCCCACACTCCTCCCTGATCTCATGATCCCAAACAGGGCAAGGAGGTGGCGATCGTCGCCGTCCAGTCCCCCTCCGAAGGGGGACAACACAAGCTTCATCCTCATGTGTGTTCTCGTCTGTGGTTTGAGTGTCGGTAAACACTGTGTCCGCCGGGAGGCTGCTGTTTTCAGAATCACTGCCCTGCAGGTCTAACTCAAGGCAGATTGAACGCTCACTACTCCCAGACTCGGAATCGCTTTCATCGCTCAGTAACGGTAGTGATTGCATCACCGTCGCCAAGTCTTTAATGTGACGAGGCACCCCATCAACTCTCACAGATTGCAGGCTGATCACCTCCGTAACACGTCCAGTGCCGTATTTTGTCGTGACACTTTGCGTGGGTTTTTGACCCAAACAACGTCTCCTTTTTTCAATCTCCCTCCAGTCACTTCTAGTTCAGGCAGCAGGTTGGCTACGATGCCTTTCACACGGTTGTGCAGTGCATCAGCCGGCGCCGTGGATGGTGAAACGTTATCTTTCGGGGCAACATTATACCAGTAAACTGCCTCCGATACTGTACAGCCCTTCCTGGCTGCGATGGTCTTGATGGTTATGTGGTTCCGCTCCACGATGCCGTTTCCACTTGGCGAGTAGGCACATCGAAACCGCAGATGCACGTCCCAATTGTCCACAAATTCTTTAAAGTCTTTACTGGTGAATGCAGTATCGTTGTCCGTCAGTATTTCCACGAGTGGGCCTCGCTCCAGGAAAACATTCTCCAACAGTCGAATGACGGTGCTCGCGTCTTTTCTGCGCAACGGCCGCCATACCGCAAACCTAGAGGAACCGCAATCAATAAGCGTTAAAAAATTCTCACCATTGTAGTGAGTTATGTCCATCGCTAGTCTGCTCCAGTTGCTCTTCACGCTCAGTTCTCCTCTTTCCCACTGAACGGGTGCCGGATCGATCGACTGACAGGTTGTGCAGGCCTTCACAACGGATTTAACGCTTTCTCTGGACACTTGCGGGTCGACTAACCTGGCGAAGTACAGAGTTCGTTTCACGCCTGGATGTCTGCATTGACGATGGGTATTGGCAACCTGGTCCTCGTCCAGTCATCTCCCTACCACTGCACAGCTCTCGAGTGCCGGTTCTCCTCTCTTGTGCAGTTCTAGCCACCTGTGCAGTACTCTTGTGAGACGATCCGCACGGTTCTGACAGGACTGTACGAGTGTCACGTCTATGGTCAATCCATATTCTTCAACCAGCGATCGCAAAATGCCCAGCCGTCGCCTAACCAGCATCTCGCCAGCCACCCTTGTGTTCACCCGTGCCTTCCCAGTCAAGGTGTCTGAAATCCACCGGTGCACACACATCAAATCAGTAACCAAGTGCAATGTTGTCCCCTCCCACTGGAGAGCTAGATTCACTCCTTTGAGCGCCACATCGAGTTCAGCTAAATTAATATGCCTGGCATCATTAGTCGGACGCAGCCAGCACGCATCTTCGATGACATTTCCGTTCGCTTCCAATGCCACTCCTGTCGCCACGGAACTCGCATCCACCTAGACTGTGATCTCGTCACCACCCATGCACTAGTCTCCTCCAATGGGATCCAGTTCCTGCACTCTACTTAACATCTCCGCTAGTATGCAACAGAGAGAGGGATCTTTGATGCTATCATCCCATCCATTGGTTGCTGCGGTTGCCAGGCGCTTGAAGAATGCAACTGCCACCTTGAGCCATCCACACACTGGGAAATGTCCACCAATTTTTCCACACAATGAAAATACGTGCCGCCAGGTCAACACATCAGGGACGTCCGGAATTTGACTTCCTTGTTTCCATCGGAGGGTGCCATTTTCTTCCCAGACCTGCAAGCCAAGAACTCTTGCTCCATCTCTCAGTCGCACTAGATCCTTGCACACCAAACTGTAATCCTAAAAGTGTTGTCTTACATGCGATGCAGAGGCCAAACTTTCATTAATGAAGATATCATCAACACATGCTGATGTGGCACTTTCAATTGTGCGGTCTTACGATGCGATGGCGTCTATAACGGATTTCATGATGAGTGGCGCTACATTTAGCCCAAATCCTAGCTGCGTAAGACAGAAGCGTTGGCCTTTGAAAATAACCGTTTGAAATGGCCACAGCGCTTCCGTCGATGTGAATCTGAAGATATCGTTCCAGATCCAGAAAGCGACACATTGACCCCCTGCCGCCGCCACGTTCTCAACTTCGTTCAATTCGTGGTAATCGAGTACCGGACACACCTGTTTCTGCTCCTGCATGACTGCCATCAAAGGAATTAGACCCTTTGGGGGTCCCAGTCTTTCCTGGGGGTACGGAATCAACCAGCCGTTCACAATCCGCTGCTGAAGCTCTTTCTCGTTTTTTCCTCTGCTGCTGTCGGGAACTTTGTACTCTTCGACCTTGTTGTGAAGCTGAACTGGTGGGTCTTTTTGGGCCCATTTCCACCTGGCGGTCCACACCCTCTCATCGGAATTGAAAGAAATGTCGAAATCCGGCTCACTAATGCAAAGGGCTGCACACACACCTTTGTTCCTTTACCCAGTTCCACATTTCCGGCTGGCGTGATTATCATGCCTCCTAACGCTCGGATCGCATCAATACCAAGCAGCAGGTCGTAACCAAGGGGCCTTTGACATGCCCCCAAAACGTCGACCTTTGCACGATTCCCTCAGTCTGTGAGGACTGATACAGTCCCGACACCACAACAGGCCGGGACACTCCATCAATCATCCGAATCTCGATTTGTTGACTGCTCCATATCACGCATCGATCCGCACTGACGATCGATCGGGAACATCCAGTGTCAACGGCGCCCGAACATAGTTTACCCTCAACGCGTTACCGTTGACAACAGGCAATGCCGCATTTACTGACCGAGAGGGGGCAAGGGTTGCGACAGCACCTTGTCCCCGGACTCATTTCGAAAGCAATCCTGTGCTACATGGACTAACTCTTTGCAGCAATAGCAGCGTAGTTGTGCTCGGGTTCCGTCGGCCGCTCCGCCTCCCTCGTCACGCCGGCTCCGCAGTCCCTAGAGAAATGTTTTGGTCCACCGCACTTGTAGCACTTTGGGCCCTCCCGTGGTGTTTCAGGCGTTCTCACAGCTGCCGCGACCTGTTCCATGTCCTTAAATGATGTTTCGGGCCCTGGCTAGCAATTCGTCAATTCCCAGTGTGTCCAATCTTGAAGACGCTCGCAGGAGCCGATTGGTGTCGTCGGAAGTCCTGCCAGGAAGGCGCACCCCAGTATCGGTCCGTTGCTCGCCAAACAGTACTGCCAGCCTTCGCGTAAATCAGCCAGGTAGACATCCATGGTGTCACCCGGCTCGAGCCGCCGTCCGACGAACTGTTTCCAAGCGATGAAGGGGTCTATTCCACAGGCCATATACAGGGGGTCCTTGATCTCTTCTAGGTCAGCATCATCCCCTCATCATCCCTTGAGTCTCAGTGGGATGACCAGTGTAGGTTCCTTTATTTTGGGCACCCTGCAAACACGTTCTGTCTTTTCAAACCATTCGACGATAGTTGGTCCCGTGAGGGAGCTGTCTAATTCTGGGATCAATTTTAGATCGAAGTTGTCCATTGCCGAAATAGCTTGTGGGAGGTAACGCAACAACTCAACTGATGATAGCAGGTAGGAACGAAGAAACCGGTGTCGCACGTCCAACCTTCTCACGAGCCGAAAGCCCTCTGATCCCAAACAGCAAATTGAGCCTGCTTTATACAGCCGAGGACCGACCACGATTTGCATACGAATGACGAGACAACGAGATTTCGCGTTAACTAACCGAAACCGCCCAGCATAAAATATGGGCGCCGCTATTTTGGTTTCTTTTACTGTTGGGAGGATCGGAGTTTGCATACTGCACAGATGCGCACGCGTTTCCGAGGTAAGCCATTTTCACAATTTTCCCCACAAACCCATGACAAAATAAAGAATGAAAAAGAAATAACCAAAAAAACATCACAAACCACTCTTACCAAAAAACAGAACCTGCAATGATCATCAATCTCTTTCAACTTCTAAAATCGATAACAATGGGAAAAATAATATACAAAACACTGAATCAAACAAGGACAAAGAAGAACGTCCATCACAACCCAAGAGAGACCATACCCCAACTTCCTCACGGGAACGTCTAAAGTCTTCAAATCTAACAAGTCAACCTACAGAACAATCAACTTCAAAGATTGACACGGAAAACAGGTTTAGTTTTTTGGAAAGGATGGAAACCGATGAGCCGAGCACTAAAAACAAGTCAAAAAAGAGCAATAACTCCAATTCAGACAAATTACAGATTAAACAATGAAATTACAAAATAATGCAATCTTGCAGAAGAATCCGAGCTAATTATCAGGAACTTCAACGACTTCTGACCAACCATAACCCCAAAATAGTTTGCCTACAAGAAAGAAACAACCTCCATTAAATTCAAACAATACCATATTTATTAATACTACATTGGGCCTTTTTTCACTGCAAATAAAACTGGTAATGAAAAATTACAATTGGCTATGCAAATGAATTAGTTTATTTAATATAAATAACTAACTCATGCCAGATAGAAACATTTGAAACCATTTACTTGAGTAAGAATAAACAAGCTGTGGTTTAAGGACGCTATCCTCAAATTATGTTTACAAAGTATATATATTTAATATATATGTGAGAACTAGATTTGGCATTAAATGACCCATAGTGGTTGATATGCCATAAAGCCCCAAACAACCAACCAACTTATATTCTAATGAAAATTCTCTCACTCAACTCCAGGTTGGTCTTGCAACCTGTCAGTCAAGAAGCACCTCCTACATATCAAGGTCTTCTGTTAGTATCAGTAGTGAGATCATATCCATTTCTAGCTTGCTATACTTCTCACATAGCTTCCAGCACCTAGTATTCGTCAGTGGTCAGTCATCTCAGTACTGACTAGGCTCACTGTTGCTTAACTTTTGGTGATCAGATGAGAACCTGTGTTTCAACATGATATGGCTGTAAGCTAATAAAAAATATAATAATATTAATATAATTAATAATTTTCATGTTTTTGTTTAATGAAAATTATCAATTCTATTATGTAATGTTATGCATTGTTAACATTACTAAAAAATTAAGTTTTTAGTTATGTATTTATGTCAAGTCACTTGAGGCTTCTAACTTTGTAAAATTTCAGGATTTTTTTAAATAAAAAGATTATATTTAACTTTTTCTATCTGCTCTTTTTTATATCTCTCACTGCATGTTTTTTTTTTTTTTTTTTTTTTTATAGAGTCCAGTGGCAGTAGTAAAAGGCCAAGGTTAGAACCAGCATCTAATTTAGATGCTGATTATCCAGTTGATGATGAGGTAAGTCTTTTATAATAATGACTAATTTCATTAATAATAGCTTTTTGAGCCACTGTGACAGCTTTCCTCATGTTTTCTAGTCATTGAACATGAAGATCAGTTATAAATGAGCTTTCCTTTCATATAATAAAACACTTTTCCAAAACATCTGGAATTTTTAAAAAAAAAAAAAAAAATTAGATTTTTTTTTTTTTTTTTTTTTTAAATAACAAGGGTTGAAGAAACCATTTAAAAGAAAAATTCAAACTACATTAAATATACAATTATTCATGCAAATTAACAAATTTTTAGATACTATTTATAATTTTCAAAGGTCATTAACAGTGTATAAGTTGTCCTCTTTAGAGTGAGGTACAGATTGTTTCTCAGCTGCTATCTATAGCAGCAAAAAGAATTATGGGTTATTAGCAAGAAAGCTCAACCTCTAATGCTATACTATCAATATTTGTCTCTATCATGAGTCAACATAGTAAAATAGGTTTCCTTTTGCAGAAAACCTTGTATTTTTCAGTTCTGTGTTCTGCAAATTTTATTTATTACTATTTTTTTTTAGTTTAAATGTGACTTTTTCATTCATTTCTGATGGAAGATACTTTGTGAAAAATTCTTACAATTTTTCATTTTCACTTTTATTGTTTTTATTTTTTTGTAATATAATTTGTCATAATAAATATCAGAAATCAGCATGAAAATATTTAATCTTCATTCATTTTTTTTTACCTCAATTTTAACATAGATACCATATTGAATTAAAGTTAAATTTAAAGACTATTTTCCTAATAGAATAATAATCAGACGTTGACTTGAAAGTTTATATTTTATTTTGAAATTTTGTTTGCAATATATATTACCTAATCCCTATATGATTTTATAGTGATCATAGTGTTGGCATACAAGTTTTAACTTATACTTAATGAAAAGAATTATGGTTCTTGTCAAATTTGACCAAGTTTTTATAAATTTATTTTTTTAATTGGGTTAATGAGGATGCCTTTGAACATTTTTATTCAAAATAACTTTGAATTAAACTGCCTCTAAAGTCAGTTTTCAATTTGTATGGCTTTAAAAATTTTTAAATTTCAATTTCTTTCATTATATAATAACAGATTGTAAGTCACTGATTTTTAGAATGCATATCTTAATAAAGTACTGAACCTCAATTTTACCAAGATATAGTACAGATAAATAATACAGGTTAGTAAATTATCCTCAAATACAAATTCTAATATGATTTTTCTATATTAAGAGTATGTAACTGTAAGTTTTAGTTCATTAATAATGAAGGAAAAAGCAAGACTCAAGAAACAGGAAAACCTATTTGAAAAATCATAAAATAACTAATGAAAAAAAAAGACAAACTTTTTCTTTTGATAATCTTTGCAAAATATATGTTATATTGTTTTGTCATAGTGTAGAAATAAAATTGTCTAACCACTAAGTACAAGAATCATGCATTTTTTTTGGTGTACTTTCATATTTTCAACTGAAAGAAAACATGCTATTTATTTTTAGTAGCATATGGAAATCTAGTGAGGTCCAAAATCTATGTTGAGTAGCCACACACCCTAATCTCTAGACCAGGTAAACCCAACCAGTCACTGCTATCTCTCTAACTAGTTGTTTATACAAAACTATGGAAAGAGTGATTAATTTATCTCATTTGGTTTTTGAAGAGAAATAGATTGATATGTAAGTACCAAAGCAAACTCTAGTGAAATTGAAATACAATGGATCAAATAGTTTAACTAGAATCAATCATTTATTTGAAAAGGCCTAATATGCAAACATCATATGGTGTCTATATTCTTTGATATAGAAAAGGCCTATGATACCACTTGAAAGTATGGTATCCTAAAAGATGTATACAATCTCAGTTTGAGATACAGAATGACTTTATTCATTCAGACCATATTTGCAGAGTCTGACTTGGACCTGTGTTGTCTGAGCTATACAATAAAGTTGTAGGTGTACCACAATAAATTAAATTCCAAAGCCCATACCATTTATTTGCATCAAGAGTGCCAAGCCTTGTATCTCTTAGAAGTTGTATCAGGGATGGATTGGGGAGGGGTACTATAGTATAGACTTATTGTGAGATTGAAACTGGATTATGATTGCACTGTCTACAACCCTGATCATAAACAGACTACAATCTATCCAGGACCAAGGACTTAGAATCTATCTGGGAGCTTTTTACACATCTCCAATGCTACACATTGAAGACAATTAACCACCACCACTACATCACTTGTGAAGAAAAGCTATCATTCCAATATATACATCAAACTATTTTCATGCCCACATAATTGCACCTGTTTCTTTCAAGTACATTGTACCTATACATTTGATAAGAAGCAGAAGGGTATTCAGCCTTCACAATAAAGAGCTCATAAGCAAAACAAAGATAGAAATGTGAGGCGAATGAAGAAAACAGTAACCAGCGAGTAAATTCAAGCTCTCCCAGCTGGTATTTCAACCTTGAGTCGTTCCTTCTTGAGTTCTGTCTCCAAATCACACTATCTGCCCGTTCTTGCCGTCAACCGTGAACGGTGAACGTCCCTCGAAGAACTCCCCGACTCGGAAAAAAGTAGTTGTTTTTATAGTTGTTCATGTACCCATAATCCCTTGCGTCTTCATGTGATCCCATAATTCATTGCGTCCATGTCCCATGATGCATTGCATCGTTATTGCATAAAAATGCAATGTCAGTCCCCCCCCATTCTTTTACGTTATCTGGCCGAGGATGGATTACGGCAGAGCGGTAAGTGCTTTTTTCTCTCCCTCATTTCAACTGCAGTAGCTTTACATGCTAAGCAAATACGGGCTCTTTTTTGGCGGGGACAAAGCAAGTCGCAACCAGTTGTGCTCGTCCCAGGTTCTGTCTCATGTCCGCCACAATATGAAACAAGTGCATTTCTAAAACTCCACTCTGGCTGTTAAAGCAACCATATTTTACTGGATCTTGCTGATTACACTAAAACAAAAACAGATCCCATAACATTTCAAGAACATTTCCAAATAATCAAACAACTGCTCTGATTATGTACAATGACACCAATTGATCAAAAGATGGGAACTGAGAAGAATATACCAACATTCTTGGGAAAAAGGAACACTTGAAATAACTACAAGATGGATTGAGATTATGGCCTTTGTTGAGTAACACCAATCTTACAGGTCATCCAGCTTTCATTTTTCCCTCCTTGGGGCCAGAATGACATCGCAATAGGATTGATTTGAGTTTCCCAAAATCTTATGATTTTGGGATTGACAGTGAGGTCTACTGTAGACCAATATGTACCACAGACAAGATTGTATGATTTTTATCTGCAGCCATGATAATTTTTGTTTTTGCATTTGGACCAATATCAGGAATTAAGGCTGGAATAAGAACTCCTTCAAAAAAAATAAAGAAAACTGTTGACAACTTTAACAGGTTTATTGAATATTAAAACTGGTAAATAAAATGTCTCTGTTATCTACAGAAGGACTAAGTCTACCCCCTCAATGAATGGTGCCTGGAAAATCTAACAATAATTGCTATAAAAATGATGGAAGGAAGAAGCCTGCCACCCCTTGCTTACTTCTCCTTTTCCATGTGTGTCTGTATGTTTGCTCCAGCCACATAAATGCGGGTGTGTTCTTGTGAGGCAATGGCTGTCCACAGAACCTGTCATAAATCTGACAACTCTCTGCTGAACCTAACCTTGTGTGTCTTGGGGCCCTGAGGGTCTTTGCTTATATAGATATCCACCTCCAATGTTTGTCATTGATATATCTAATTTTTCCACTTCTATCCACCTTATTCTTGGGAATATTTAAAAAAAAAATATATATATATATATATATATATATATATATATATATATATATATCTTTAAGAAATTTCAGTCACTCTCTTTCAGTAACTTTTTTTTTTTTTTTTTTTTTTTTTTTAATGATTTTTGTGTTTTGGACAGATAGTATTAATATAAATAAAAACCTCAGTTTGGGATTTAGGCATAAACCACATGGCCCTTTTTGTTTAAGAGAATTTGGCTCACATTTTTACTGTAAGAATATAAGTGCTTTGGATTGATAGTATTAATGTGAATAAACCCCAAATTTAATTTCTCAGGACCAAAAAATTCAGACAAGACATTAATGATGCCTTCTTATTGGAAGGAAGTGGATAGGTTGGGAAAAATTAGTTTTGTTCAATTTCTATATTTATTAACACATTTCTTTATCGAACTTTCTCTCAACCATTCAATCTACTCTTTTGAGAACTTTAATAATTATTATTCAATTAGTTGTCCCTCAGCGATTTCATGCAATTAAATGTTTGAACAGGCCCAGTGCCCTGTTCAATCTCTCAAAATCCACACTTACAGTGCCACACAAGAGTTTACAACACAAAAAAATGTTTTTAGTTATTTCTAATACAATTACATTACTTTTACTGCTCATAGAACATATATTTAGGTATTCAGTGAATCAGATGTTTTTAAAAACTTCAAAAAGTATCACACATAGAAAAACGATATTTAGTAACTCAAAGGTTTACAACAGGCTTTTTTTTTTTTATTTACAACAGCATATATATATATATATATATATATATATATATATATATATATAGTGTTCAAATTTTACTAGACTGTTCCAATTTAGAATGGGACTGGTTTTTAGAATATTCCAGATTAATTTTATGATTATTTTTAGGAATGATTAAAAGTACTGCGTTATTCAACCGTCCTTTAAACATTGACAAAGTGGGGAAAAGCAAAATAATTGATCAAGACCTTCATAAACATATTGTTGATTTGGTTATAGGAAGATATCTAGTTAAATGTGCCATTGAGTTCAGTTGGTACAATAGTTCATCACTGGGAAATGTGTTATGCCATTCATCCCCCAAAAAAACTCTGGTCATCCTAGAAAGTTAACAGAACATACGGCAAGATTATTGGTGAGAAAAGTTGGCAATGAGCCTAGAGTTACACTTAAAGAACTTCTGG